CTTTACGGGAACAGATCACCAGGTCTTTCTCCCTCAGAGCCACTGGGTTGATTCAAACCGCCAACCTTTGGTTAGCAGCTGAGTGGTTAAACACATTGCACCGTCAAGTCTCCTTAGTCAGCAAATAGAAGTTAAGGGGGGAAAAAAAAAACAACCTTATTTAAAAGCTTTCTCATTTAAAAAGAAACATTCACAGTGGTAATTAATTCAGTCTTAACCTACTTGTCCCTAAACTGTCTTCAATTCATATAACCTGTGTCAAGGACAGTCTGTTTTTTTCTTTTAATCAAATTAATTGTCAGATTTTCTGCAATGATTGGCACTGAACATAGCGTTTAGGATCTGGTAGAAGGATGCTTTCTTTTCTCACACATGCTATCTACCTGCGAGCACGTTCCAGACTCACAGTGGCTTGATTACCTCTCACATTACTGGAAAATATTTAACTCGTGATTGGCAGTGACCCCAGTTCCGTTTTGGGTTGAGCTTATCATTAGCTAATCTTCTTCCTCCAGCTGTGGGGCTTTTTTCCCACTAAACACTTTGCTTTAAATTGGCCCTACCTTACAAGTGACTTCCAAATCAGCATCCCCACCTATGATCACTCCCAGGGGCGGATTATATCCAATAGGTGAAGTAAGTATGGTGCTTACCTTGCTTACCAGATCGTCTGTAGTGAACAATTTCATGTTTTTTCACCACATCAAAAATTTTTCTTCTAGGTATGGCTGGCATCTGTCTCTCTCCCAATCCCACAGCACCTTCCTGCAGAATCAAAGTCTCTCTTCAAATTTTCAATCCCTGCGAGGGACGGATTACCCAGTAAGTAAGGTAAGCACAGGCTTACTTGTGCTTATCTTACTCATCTGTAGTGAACAGTTTCACATGTTTCTGTGGTGAAAAACATGTTCACTACAGATGAGTAAGTAAGCACAAGTAAGCTTGTGTTTACCTTGCTTATTGGGTAATCTACCTCTGATCACTCCCCAGAAATCTAGATCCATCCATCCGGAGGTCTTCTTGCCAGTGTCACAACATGGGCATCCACAAAGCATCTAAACCTTGGCATGGACCAAAACAAGAACAAACAAGAATCCTTGCTTCTCCTATTTTCGTTTCCCTCTATTAATTGTTTAAGCAAAAAGTCCATGTTGTCCATTATTTCTTTCTTTTGCTTACCCACCTATATACATTCCATAACCAAATCCTATTGACTCCACCTCTAAAAAGATCCTAAATATTTCCGTCTCTTTGTATTTACACTACTGTAAACTTTCTCCAATTCCCATCTTTTACTTGGTTGCTTACAATCGCCTCATCTTGCATCCACTTTGGACCTCAACAATCCATTCAGCATAGAGAAGTAAAAGTTGTTTTTTAAAGTTTAAATCAAATCATATCTTTCCCATTTCAGTTTTAGAAGAAGTCCTTGTGTGGTCTGACTCCTTTTTTTCTGACTCCATTTCCTTTTACTAATTCTCTTTCCCACAAAACTCTAACCACTGACCATCTTTGTGTTCTTCGCAAACAGCAACTTCATTTCACATTAGATCTTCCTCTGGAATGGCTCTCCTCTTGATCTTTGCATTTCTTGAAGTCCCTAGGTGATGCAAAAGGTTAATGTGGTTGGCTGTAATAAAGGTTGGAGGTTTGAGCCCATCCAAAGATGCCTCAGAAGAAAAGCTTGGTAATCTGCTTCCAAAAAATCAGCCACAGAAAACTCTACAGAGCACAATTCTACTCTGACACACGTTGGATTGCCATGAGTTGGAATTGACTCATTGGCAACTGGCTTTTTTATTACTATTATCATTCAGATCTCAGTTTAAATGTTACCTCCTCAAAGAGGATTTCTTAAATTTTTAACACAAACTAGCTATTCAGTCACTGTCTATTACATCCATCTATTTAAATTGTCTTGATGACAGTTATTTCTAACTCAGATTTTTTTTTATCTATTTATTTGCATATTGCTTGTCTCCTCAAACTAGAATATAAGTTTCATTGAAGCTAGGACTGTACCTTTCTTGTTTACCACTATATCTCCAGAACTGAGGACACTGCCAGACCAGGCACATAGTAGGCATCAGTCAATATTTGATGAATGAATTTCGATTGAATGAATTTGATTCTGTAGTCCTATCTTATCTACTGAGAGGTCAATTTGGATTTTATTCCTGTCTCCCTGAGTATTGGCAGTCCTACTGGTTTCAGTTTCATCTGTGGACCTAGTAAGGAATTCCCAATACCTTTGTCTTGGCCATTAATGAGCTACTGAACTGAGCAGAAGGTGGATCTTTTGGGGATTCCATTAAATATAGTTACCTCAAAATACTTTAAAATTCCTAGTCATCAAAAAGAATAGCTCTCACAAACAGCAGGCCGCCCAGACCCAAATAACAGCATTTCAGCTACCTAAGATATTACCTTTTCTAATGAAGTATTTTGGAGTTCCTTTGGAGAGTTTTGTTTTTAACTATTGCCTCAGCCTTTGATACTCAAGTGTTGGAAACTACTGATCTCAGAAAGTCGCCCAAATGGTACTATCCTGAGCCTCCAAGTGGTATATTGACCATAAATGAGATTCACAGGATTCATTCCTCACCCTGGTTCAGATCTGTCCCCTTGCTTGCACTTACCTTATGTCAACCTTGGACTTTGGTTACTGTATATGCTACATTTCCTACCTAGACTTGGGCATTTCTATTTTTTTTTTTTTTTCATTAGGCATCTGCTGAGCTCATTCTTCCATCTAGCCCTTGATTCTGCTCCTCTCATATGAACTCAGTTCATATAGCAGGCTTTGATCTTCCACCATTCCTCTTCACATCTTGGGCTTAGCTTTGTTTTGGAACCTCTATCTCAGGGCTAGAAAGTTCTGATGGTTCCATCTTGACTACTCTGTGGTGCCTTCATTATGTAATGGCTGCCCTCTGCCCTGCCTAATAATGACAATGTTATGAAGGCTCCTTGTTTCCTGGGATATTGGTGGCACTACAGCTTTGCCCTGCTAGTGCTTTAATAATTGACCTTCATTGGTAAGGAAATTCTGAGAATTAGACAAGGAGATGAGGCCTTCAACTCACTTTAGCTTCTGCCTGTCAACACAAGAACCAGTATTTCCAAAGTCACCAAAAAAAAAAAAAATTAAACTAATGCTTCCTTATCTCCTGGACTTACCAGCCAGAGTTAACTAGCTAGTATCCATGGCACACTCTGAAGCCACTATGATTATTTTAGGAAGATGGCAAGAAAGGTAAAGTCTGTTCTCAGTCATGTCTTTGTGTTCACTTTTGAAGGGAGAAACCCATTCACAAGAAAAGCAATTCAAATCTGCCTGCTTTTCTCTGGGCCAGCTTAGATGATTATTTATACTTCCAGCCTATTTTCAAAAAAAAGGCTGAAATGACCAAGCCCTTAAAAGTCAAGACAGAAGTTGGTAATTTAGAAACCTGTAGAAACTTTTGTAACGAACTGTCTGCTTTTCATTTGTGGACATGGACCTAGGTACACCATGAATACCAAAATTGTTGTTTGAGATACTGATGACTTCAGTTGGGTAAAGAGATCCACTGTATTATTCTTTTTAATCAATATATTGGGGAAGAGTGGATAAGACAGAGACCAAGAGATTGAGAATTGCAGAGAAGTAAGTGTGCAGAGAATGGACTGAGTAAATTGACTGTAGATGGGGAGAGAATCCTGCATCCAGGTCATGGATACCAATTATAACTAATACTTGAAAAAATGATTAGATGGATTAGGAGAGACCCTTAATCATTCCTTATTTTTTTAATTCATTTGTTCTTTAAACATTTACATAGTAACAACCATATACCAGGCATTCTGCTAAGTACTAGGAATGCAAAATAAATGGTATGGTCTTTGACCTCAAAAACCTCACTGTTTCGTGGGAGAGGCAGACACTTTTTTAAAAAAATGTATATAATATAATGTAAGAAGCATTGTAATAAAGATATGTACATGGAGGTAAGGGGTCATTTAATGAACAAGGTACATATGACCCCTGACCACCTAGGCTTACCATCTTGAATTGAGGGACCCAAGATCAATTAAGAAATCATTGCTCAGCACTATGAGAAGGCAAGGCCTGGGTGTTGTAGGAGCATATAGAAGAGGCTTCTAATCCTGAGTGGTGGAATCAGACAAGGATTAAGAATTAACTGGGCTAAGAAGGATCACAGAGGATAAAGCAACTAACTCTGTCTTGGGGAAGAAAGGGTGTCAGGAAAAGCTTCCCAGAGGAGATGATGTTTGGGCTGTGTCTCTTAGTTAAATCCAGGGCAGACAAGTGCTTGTTCATATAAATAAGGGAAGGAAGCAAGCATTCAGAATGGCTCTTGTCTCTTCCACTAGTAGCAGTCGCTCTAAAGAGTTTCAGGTGCTGTATCCCCAAAGGGCCAAGCTTTCCTCCGGCCATTGGATGGATGGTGGGAGAGTGTTGTTCAGAATATCTCAGATACTGAATGTCTGTCCCTAAAAGCTGCTTAAAATAGCATCAGGAGGGAAAATGATCCTAACATCCATTCTGAACAAATAGGAAATTGCTTTTTTTAAAGTTTGATCTGAAAGACACACACACACTCCTCTATAGGGTACACCCCACAATACTCAATTTATCTGTGTCAGAAACTCCAAGGACTGAATTGATTGTGCTGTAAATTGAACCTTGGGTTCCATTCTGAGTACTTGAAACGTGACACTCCATCCACTAAGCCCTCCTGCTTGGGTTGTTTTTCTCGATTCTAATATGTTGAAATATTTCCAAAGCTTTGGTGCTGTCTCTGCCTGGGCCAGGAAATGCAGTTTTGATCAAATCTCATAATAATATGAGGGAGATGTTGAAGATTAATGCCTATTGATAATCCAAACTGCCAGAGAACGAGATACAGAGGAGAATTTAATAACCTGAAAAATGGTTGCAAAGGAGCATGGTTTCATTTTCAGCTGTCTTTTCCATGTATTTGTTTCCAACCCAGGGTGAGTTTTGATGAGGGCCACTCCTGGGACAAGTATGGTTTCACTTCGGTCCCTCTCTTCGTCGACGGGGCTCTGGTGGAGGCAGGAGTGGAGACCCAAATTATGACGTGAGTACTTCTTTTCTTGTGGTAGAAAGGAGCTCAGAAACCTTGGTTCTCCTTCCTCCAAGGAGATGGATTTTTCCCGGCAATCCCTATACCAGGGCATTTCAATCTCTGGGCCAAAGTTTCCTCATCTATAAAATGGAATATGTATGCTTACACCCACCAACTCAAAAGGCTGCTGACATGATTAGAGAGGCTAGGGTTCTCATTGAAAAGTTAAGGTTTCTGATGGAATGTAAAGTATTATCGCAAATTTCCATTTGTCCAACACTTAGGCAAACAGAGCTTAAGTAAATCTTTAGATATGCTTCTCTCTTTCTAAAACAGTACAGTAAAGGGGTAGGGGCAGGGATGAATGGAGCCAAGCTGTCAACAGCCAACATATTGAAATGAAGCAATATTTTTAGGGGAAATTCCTAGACTATGTGTAACACACATACATGCGTACCACACAGTTGTTGTTGTTTGGTGCAGATTGCTGTGAAATTTTGTCTACAGTCCTTTACAATGAGACTAGATGGTCAAAGTGTAGATCTTAAGGCTGTAAAGAGCCCTGAAGTACTTTCTGAATATAAAAGAAAAAAATAATAATTTGATCTTATTTTCAACAAGTGTATCGAATATTAATCCCTTAAATGTTGGTCACTTGTGTGTGTATGTGTACACATGTGTATATAAGGGGTATAAGAGGGTGTCAGAGGTAACCCTGTACCAGCCAATACTGCCCCCCACCTCTCCCATCTCCGGTTGACTGGAAGGCCTTATGCCTTAACTCTTCACTGGACAGAATGAAGGGAGTCTGCTGGACGGAATTTGAGGAATTTACTGCATTGTGGGGTTGGTGCCAGAGGGTTCATAGGATGTTTCTGTGCTGGTCTGGGGGAAGAGTGTGGCCTTCTTACTCAGTGGGACACTATTTGTGTGTGTGTGTTTATTTTTTAATAGTTGGAATCAATCTTTTCCCAATCTAAGACTGATGGGCTTTGAGGAGGGGACAAATACAGGGCAAATGGCTAGTTCCTATGCTTTATATTTTTCACAGAGTGATCAGTTCAAAATCTTTTTGCAGCTTGCCAGCCCCAGACTGGACCACTTTGTTCCACCCCTCCACTTTCATCCTCCTATCCAGAGGGTTGACTGGCCACTGGGATGGCAGAAAGAACATAGATGGATGAATGGATGGATGGATGAATAGATAGATATAGTGACTGTATATATGCAAAAGTGTGTATGTGTGCACACATATGCATAGAGGGACAGATAGACAAACAACAGAGAGACACTGAAAGATAAACCCTTAAGATCTAGGATCCTGGCAGGACCTTTGTAAAGTTGTTCTATAACATTAAGAAAATATTTTTCTGGTACCTACTATGTGCCAGATACTGTTCTAGGTGAACAAATCAGAGCAGAACCCCTGTCCCTGCGGAGTTCGCATGTCTAGTACACTAAATAAATATGCTGAACAAATGACTGTGCCAGGTAACCCAGAATACTTTGCCAAGAGATTCAGAATTTTCTTATTAATTCCAGGAAGTCAATGATATTCAAATAACCACTTTTTTTTTAATGAGGGTCTCTGGCCTTGGGCTAACTTTGTAGATTATGTTTCTATCCTTCACTTAATCACTAGATATAAAAAGAAAAGCCTCCTCTTTTCCAGGACTTCCTCTGATGTGGCCATCTCAAAGAGCTTAAGTATTGAGTTAGGGTAAAGAAACATACATTTGAGAAGGTTGTGCACTCTACTCCCTGAGTAAATTCAAGCAGACGTGGCCACTTACCACGTTCCAAACCTGACATGGCCCTAAAATCTTGGGCGGTGAATGTGTACCTTGTCCTAAAGTCAGCCTTTCCCTGCTTTTGTATCAAAGAGACTTACTGGTCCTCCTTTTATTTTGTCTTCCCATCTTATGACCTGATTTATCCCACATTCTCTTGTATGAGGCCTAGTTGAGCTCATTTCAGGCTGTTCCTGGGCATTACATGTATGCTAATCTCTACATGACTTGGTATTCCCTGACAAGTTTAAGGACACAGTTTAAATTCTGTGTTCATCTATTATGAAGGATAATACTTTTTTTCTCTGCTTCAGATGGGGTTTAGCTGGCCAGATGGCTATGAGGGAGATTGACCTCAGGCAGTGGCGTCACTAGGGTTGATGTCACCCAGTATGGTAATTCATGATGTCACCCCCCACCCCATGGACTCATGGACCTCCTCCCGTACCAGGCCATGCAGACTTCTTAGTAATGTTTTTATACTAATGTTTTTTATTTTTCTCCTTATTTTCCTTTAATTACTACTTTATTCTCAAAAAAGTTACATTGATATAGGTTCACAAATACTAATTACCAAAATATGATAGTTAAAACACCAGAAAATTTGACAAAATCAGCAACTATAAAAACACTGGTAGCAACAAAAACAACAGCATTTGCTTGTAGTGTGTGCAGACAAAATCACATGATTTGAAGTGTCACTGTAATTGGGAAATAATGACAGCTCTGTCTGGAGCACATTAGAAGGTTCAAAAAGTAAATTTAGCATAGAGTTTTAGCCTTGTAGGTATATTGATACATGGAAGCTGGGCTTACAAAAAATGTTTCTGTTGTTATAACTAACTAGAGGGATATTTATATAAAAAGTAAAACTTTTTGCTGAAATATTGCACAGAAATTTTATAAACAGTCATCTTGTCCTCTGACAGTGTCACCTGGTGCAGTCTGCACCCCCATACCCCCTAGTGACACCACTGACCTCAGGGCCAAACCATTTACTGAAGAAATGAGATAGCACTTCTCTTTTCCTTTCCTGCCCACTAAAACTCTAAAGAACTTAGTGGAGCTTCTGTGCCTCTTCTACCTTGTGTATCAGGATACATTAAGTGCTAGTGAGTAGAATAGGAACTAGAATACTGCATATTTTCCTATAGGAGGTTTGGGACTTTCATGAATTTAAGGTGGGTCTTGAAAGCCTTCATCCAACCAAATATAAATAATTTAGGCTACCTGTTAAGTTTTAAATTAAATTTCTAGTTTCTCTAGTACAAAAACCATGTAGACTTTGTTTGGGCTTTTCCTACAGCAGAAGGGAGAGCCCTGGAAGGATTGCAAGTGGTGATATCTGCCTCCACCTTAGATTTGAAAAGAGCTTTAAAAGTTTGTGGCCCACTAGGGCTAAACTGTGGTTTTACCTCATGGAACAGCAGTGGCAGGGAGTGAAGCAGTTCAACAAATTATAGATTTCCTAGTGGCTTATTTATCTAGTGCTGCTATAACAGAAATACCACAAGTGGATGGCTTTAACAAACAGAAATTTATTCTGTCACAGTTTAGGAGGCTAGAAATCTGAATTCAGGATACCAAGTCTAGGAGAAGGCTTTCTGTCTGTGTCAGTTCTGGGGGAAGGTCCTTGTCTTCTTTCAACATCTATGGCCTGGCGTTCCTTGAAGATCTCCATGTGTGTTGGAATCAATCTTTTCCTGGATCTAGGAGGTTCTTAGTGCAGGGACCCAAGGTGCAAAGGGCACGCTCCACTCCTGGCTCTTCTTTCTTGGTGGTAGGAGGTCCCTCTCCTGTCTTATCTCTCCTCTCTTCTCTCTTTTATGTCTCAGAAGAGATTGATTCAAGATGCAACATAATCCTATGGATTGTGTCCTGCCTCCTTAACGTAACTGCCACTAACCCTGCCTCATTAACATCATACAGGTTAGGATTTGCAACATATAGGATAACTACATCAGATCACAAAATGGAGGACAACCACACAATATTGGGAATCATGGCCTAGCCAAGTTGACATACATTTTTGGGGGACAAAATTCAGTCCATGACACTTGGGAACTGTGAGGATAGGGGGTGAATTTGTGGGGAAGAATGCTTAACCTATCCCCTAAACTGAACACTTACCAGTGAATTAGACCATTTTAATTCTGTAGTCTTCCCCTCACTGTGAACCCTGTCTCTCTCTTTAGCTCGGGTATGGTCAAGGAAAAAGAAGTTCCAATTCATTACACTGTGGTTTAATTGCTTTATCTTGTGTCATGGATTTAATTGTGTCCCCTAAAAATGTGTATCAACTTGGCTAGGCCATGATTCCCAGTATTGTGTGATTGTCTACCATTTTGTCATCAGATGTGATTTTCTTATGTGTTGTAAATCTTACCTCTATGATGTTAATGAGTTGGGATTATCGGCAGTTATGTTAATCACGCAGGACTCAATTTACAAGATTAGGTTGTATCTTAAATCAGTCTCTTGAGATATAAAAGAGAAAAGCAAGCAGAGAGACAGGGGGACCTCATACCACCAAGAAACAAGAGCCAGGATAATATCGTGTTCTTTGGACCTGGAGTCCCTGTACTGAGAAGGTCCTGGACAGGGAAATATTGATGACAACAACCATCCCCCAGAGACGACAGAGAGAGAAAGCTTTCTCCTGGAGCTGGCACCCTGAATTTGGACTTCTAGCCTCTGAGACTGTGAGAGAATAAATTTCTCTTTGTTAAAGCCATCCACTGGTGGTATTTCTGTTATAGCAGCACTAGATGACTAAGGCGTCTTGTCACCTTGATTTGGAGGATTTAAATATGTATTAGTTCATTCATTCAAAAACATTTAATGAGCTTCCAATGTGTATCAGATCCTGCTAGTTCTTAAGAAAGATTAAAAAGATAAATGCAATTCTTTCTACCTTCAAGGAGCTGTCAGGCCAACATGGTAAGGGGTAGTAGGGGTACACTATTCATCAAGGAGCCCTAGTTATATAACCAGGATAATAGCAGAGGGAAGCAAAGACTTCGCACTCACCAAAGGGGACAATTGAGTTTGTCTGGAAGTTTCAATAGCAGTTCACCAGTGGAAAACCAAATAATAGGTAGTAGAATGTAAGCTCCGAGAAAGCAGAAATCTTTTTATTAAGTTTTGTTTTCTACTGTAACCTCAGTGCCTTAAACGGGGCTTGGCACATAATAGGAAGTCAGTAATTATTTGTTGAATGAA